AGGAGCTGTTCCACGGCCTGCAGCCCCTGCTGGTGTCGGTGCTCACGGATGCCGCGGCCAGCCCTTCCGCCCGGCTCCACGTGAGTGCCGTGCCCCGAGACACCCTCCCCTCCCCATCCCGACGCAGAGAGGTGGCTCCTCCTGCCTCCAGGCCCCCTGCTCCGAGGCTGAGCCCCCGGCTGGGAACCAGGGCTCACTCCTGACCATGGCCTGACTTTGTTCTCCCGACAGTGTGCGTCCGCTCTGGGCTTGGGCTGCTACGTGGCTGCCGCTGACGTCCAGGTACGTGGCCTTGGGGCACGGGGGGTAGAGCACCCAGGCCCTCGCTCCGCCCTGAGCCACTCCCCTGCCGCCCTGTGCCCCTAGGACCTGCTCTCTTGCCTCACCTGCTTGGAAGGGGTTTTCAGCCGGTCTTGCGGTGCGGGCGGCTCCACAGCCCCTGCCAGCCTGCATGGCCTGTTCCGTGCCACCCTGCAAGCCTGGGCATTGCTACTCACCATCTGCCCCAGCAGCCACATCGGCCACATCCTTGACAGGTAGAGGCGACTGCCCAGGGGGTGCGGGAGGGGAGAGTGAAGGAGCCCCCAGCCCACACACGCAGCTCAGCTCGCCCCCTCCCCAGGCAGCTGCCCCGGCTGCTCCAGCTCTTGTCCAGTGACACTGTGAACCTGCGGATTGCCGCCGGCGAGACCATCGCACTGCTTTTTGAGCTCGCCCGGGACCTCGAGGTGTGAGGGGAGGGCGCCTGCTGACACCACGTGCCACCCCAGGCCCATGCAGGGGATGCCACAGAAGACAGGGCAGCCTTAGGTCAGGGCGGAAGTAGCCCCAACACAGACTCAGGTGCCAGGGCCTGTGCTGGGGGCTCTGAGCAGGGTTGTCTGGCCGAGGCAGGGGTCTAGGCGGGGCTCAGGGGCCCAGGCAGAGAAGAAAGCGACTTCCTCAGTGAAAGGCAGGGTTTGGGCCGCCCGTGTGGAGCCAGCAGAGCTCAGGCTCCTGTGCACCCCCGCCCGCCCCGCCCCTGCAGGAGGACCTGACCTACGGGGACATGGACGCCCTCTGCGGCGCTCTGCGCACTCTGGCCAGAGACA